CAAAATATACGAAATTTTCCGAAAAAACCAAAGGGAATGCGAATAATTGGAACAATCATGGAAAATCCTTTTATTAGACCTGTTAAAGTCGCAGGAGCATCAACAAATCTAATTGGACAAATGTTAGCAGTGGCACAGTGCGCCCAAGATTGAAAGAAATTAATATCAACATATATGTTGTTCGAAAAGAAATTGATATTACCCAGCGAACCAAACAAAAGAGTTTTGGCACAATGTTTTATGGACGGATAAGAATTTACTTCAATTCCAAAGTTCGATCCTGCAACATGACAATGCTCCGTGTCACAAAGGTTGGATGCCAAGTTTTTAAAGGTCTTGGAACAGACTGTTCTGCCATGACCTACGCAAAGTACTGACAATAATGCCATTGAAAATGTTTGGGCTTTCGTGAATCGACAACGAACTGTTATATAGACTAGATTATTTGTAAAATGAATATTTAGATTTAAAACAGGTAAACTTAAGTTGTAAAAATTGTTGTTAAAATAATTTCAACGAGAATAAAACGTGTGTAAATACTTTTGTCAACTGATGTTTCTTAGATTTCAAAAATTATATTTTTATAAAAATGTAGTCCTTTGATTTTTCATACCGCTGCTACAACGTAAAAAAGATATTTAATCGATTTGTAGAATAATTCATGCTCCAGCTTACTTTTTTTGAATTAGTGCAATAAGTAATGACTTTTGAACCATAGTGCAATATGCAATGTAACCTCTAAACTAATATGTCGTATTACACGTGCGTATGCGGATAATTGGATGTGACCTTAAGGGGGGTATAGAATTTGTTTTTTTATTCGAATGCACAACATTTCAAGAACATCTTCTAAAGGAATCCTTTTCAAAATTTGCAGAGTACTTCTTTACTAAATTCTTCAGCTAACGCTATCGAGTTTTCAACTCGGATTTTTTGGCGATACTTGGGGAAATTTTTCCTTTAAATAATTTAATTTGATTTTTTCAATTCAGATGATTCAGTGGCCAGTTACTCTGTACACCGCAAACCACTGTTTTTCGCAGTGCCGCCGGAGATTGCCTATGTATATCTCACTCACTTTTTAATATTTTGGTATACAAATTTGCACATATATTGTTATGTATTATCACATGGGATTATCGCCTATAAAAATTGGTAAACAATTCCCCCCCCCAAACCCACCCTTTTAAGGCTTTTGTTTTTTAAAATAGTTGCAAGCTAGTATCTGCAAATAAAATGAAATGGATCGGAGTCAGAATCCTAACCCACTTTTTAGATGCTTTCTACTCTTATTAATATATGTCTGGACAGTGGTAGGCGGTCTGTGCTTGCAGCTAAAGCAGTATACATAAGCCCCAGCGGAAAGACTTTTCCCTGCACGAGCATGTGCCGTGTCGTTGGCACGTGCCACGTGGCGATTGCTCGAGCTGCGTCCCAACTTCAGCACCAGTGCGAAGATAATACGATGATTGCTGGCTGCTTCAGCTTCCTGCGGGGGATTCGCTTTCATGTGCCACCATGTAGCCTAATAAAAACATTTGCTTCCTCCACCTTCAGGCATTTTATGATCTAATCTGTGCATATTAAATCTTAAATATAATAAAACCATCTGGCAATCGGATATTATAAAAATTATTTCGTTTTAGTTGTAATAATGCAACTTACAAACTACACTTACAACATTTCGATTTCTCCTGCAAATTTACCATTTTAAATCGAACAGAATATTTTCTATTCGGCTAGCGCTCGCTACTTATCGATTTTAATTTTATCAGACATATTCATATTCTTGCAATACCAAGCATATTCTTTTTTCACTTTTATTTTTGGGCACACCCCTTGAGTTTGATATATTGCTGCTGACTTTGACTTTATTAAAAAATCTTGAAAATCGTTTTTAAACTTTTGCCAATATCTTAACTATTTGAAAATCTGCCCAGTAATTTTTATTTCTACGTAGGCAAATTTAAGAATCTGACCATTTGAAATTTGTTTTCTACAAATGAAATATGACCATTGGAAAAGGGAGAAAACAGCATGCGAAATTATTTTGTTGGTTTATACATATGTATGTACATATGTATGTACATATATGATCAAGTAGCGTTCCAATTTTACCTTTTACTAGGAACAGTTTTCCCTGCTGATCTGCGTGGACGAACTGCTTCGTATTTGCACTGCTTTATGTGAAGCAGTTTGGCTGGTCGAAAATATCTAGGGTGTGAGTAGAAAAGAAAAACAAGAAAGGAAAGCTCACTTCGGGAGGAGCCGAAGTTGATAGAATATTCTGTAAATTATATTCTCCAAAATTATTCATAATATGCATTCTTAATATTCATAAAAAATCCCAACTTCCTAACTTTAAAAACACCAAAGTTATGGCATTTCCGATCGTTCAGTTATATGGCAGCTATAGGATATAGTTGCGCGATCCTTATGAAATTTGGTAGGTCGTATTGATTGGCCAAAAATAAAACCCATAGAAAATCCTTCCTAACTTTACAAACACCAAATTTATGGCATTTCCGATCAATCAGTTATATGTCGGCTATAGGATATAGTCGGCCGATCCCGGCCGTTCCGACAGACATAAGGACAGACGGACACACAGACGGACAGACAGACATGCTTATATCAACTCAGAAAGCGATCCTGATCAATATAGGGTCGGAGATGTCTCCTTCACTGCGTTGCACACTTTTAACCAAAATTATAATACCCTCTGCAAGGGTATACAAAATATAATATTCCAATTTAAAGACCATAACAGCTTACAGACTTCATTCTTGATCAACAACAATATCATATATCAGTTTGGTTCCACGGGGATAATTGGGTTTAAAGACCAAAAAACGTAAAACTCTGTGACATACATATAGTGTGAAATAATATTTTTGGGCCTGGTTGATTTGGTTAAATGCAAGTCTCATAATTTTGAAGAAAGTTATACCTTGGCGAAAACCAAAAAACTAGCTACGATTTTTATATAATTTGACCTTATATTTCTACTCCAGAAATATAGTAAGTTATTGAGGTAAACTACTTTGTCTAATTATCCCATAGTCTCGTGTCTAACTTGAAGGGCAACGTTCTTTATTCGAATTCTGCGAATGGCTTCCTCCACACGTTTTGCCGACCATCGACTCAAAAAATGTTAAATTTACTTTCAGTCGAAAATATTACCTGATACCAGAAGCTTCTGGTTAAATTTACTTTCAGTCGAAAATATTAGAAGCTTCTGGTATCAGGTAATATTTTCGACTGAAAGTAAATTTAACATTTTTTGAGTCGAGGTCAGTTGGTCAGAAGGTCTATAGCCCGAGATCATGGCCTTACGTTTAGCAACAGGGCAATGGTAGTTTCATTCGTGCAGGGCCGTTCTAACAGTCTGAAGACTAATATCCTATCCTGTTTCATCTCAGAGTCGATCTTGGAGGCGCCTATTTTTCGGTCCAGCTTCACTTTGCGGAGCAGTTGGCTGCGTTCCCGGCCACTTAATGCACTTAAACGTCTCAATTCAGGGCATTTTCCAAACTAGAAGCTCATTTAAACCATTTCTATTATTTTTCCTATCTCCTCATAAGATTTTCCTTCACTGTGCCGAAGAAGTATAATTTTCCATTCATTCCGCTTATTACCCATTTTTGGAATTATTTAAAAAAAAGCTTAACAAACCAAAGTGAACCGTAATTGTCTACGAATTTTTTGGCTTGCATACGATTCTTGGGAAGTCCCTGTTGAACGGAAACAACAGTTATCATATCAAATTAGTTTTTGTTGCGCAAAAATACCCAAATTGCCTATACAATCTTCGGTGGCTAGCGCTGGTTTTTTCTACGAAAAACGGTTACACATTTGCATAAACAGATTAATATAAAATCGAGATTATTTATAAACGAACTAAAAATTGTATTAGTGAACTGAAAATAAGGCCAATTTGTATTGAAAATAGATATGTTGGCCAGGATATTGTTCTTGAATTTTAAATCGACTTTATCCCCTGCAGTTATGTGCGCCTATTTTTAAATATTTATCTAAGCGTTTTGAAACAAGCAAACTTCAACCTCTCAGCCAGTATACTTGCCGTCCTTTTCGGGCAAGTAGCAACGGATACGCCAGTGCTGCGCGGAAGCAGGACCAACGTTTCGGAGCGCCAGCCTCCACATGTGAGGCCAGCTGGTGGGTGTGACCGTGTTTAGGCTTGTCGACAACTAAACAACCGAATGCCCACACCCACGCCCACGCCCAATGCCCACTCCCACTGCCTGTTTGAGTCTGTGTATGCACGCTTTTGATGCTGAAGCGGAAGCGTGCGGGTAGTTAACGGAAATGTAAAGCGCTTATTTTATCGGAATGAAACAATTCTATTGGGCGAATGTTCCTGCCTTGCGACTTGTTTCCTTTTTAGCAAAATTCGAATTCAAATTAAATGCAACATGTGTATCAGTGAAAGCGGTGTGTGGGGCTTGAAGCGCCTTAAACTGAATGTAAACGGTGCGGCGGCTGGACAACCAAGCATACCACCGTTTACAAACATCTTAAGGCGCTTCAGCTCTACGTTGAGCGAAATATTGAATGTCTTTGCTTAGTCCAAAGTAATTTCACGGGCTTATTGTACGTCAGTTTAGAGTAAAAACACACCTATTTGTGTTCCTAGAGCGCCTGCAGTTGAGCCTGTCTTTAACTTAAAGATTCCTCCGCCAAGATATGTTCGTTGTATTAAAACGCAGCTGTGAAATTACTACGTGCCGCAAAGCGCTTTCTCCTTTATCCTCTCTGCTCTTTTTTCTCCACGGGTGCGAATGCGACAACTGCTGTGCGCCGGCCATCGGCCGTCGGCCAATCACAGCGCCTACCGGCGGCAAATGGTGGAGTGTGCGCCGCCACTCTTGCTTCGACCAATCACAGGCGGTTCCTTTGCTGCAATCACAACTTAGTGCTCCGGGGGACGCAAGCAGGCATGCACGAGGGTCGGACTAGTTGGTTTCTGGAACGGATCCGGGCAGGCAGGTCGTGACATTATTATTGCGACTGGCGCTCCAAAGGTAAATGCAGTTTTGCCGCCGTGTCGGGAAGTGTACGCATCATTGTTCGAGTCAATTTTCGCGATTCCGGCAGTGCCGCGTAAATTCTATATCGACTGAAATTGCTATCGATACTGGCTATCGGCCCCAACCGGGAATGTTACATATTTCATGCGATAAAAATATGATAGTCATATGTGTGTAATCAAAAGTGTTGTCCGGAAATGAACAAGTGAACTTAAACAAAAGCGCCTGCTCAGTTTAATTTGTGTTCTTGCAATCGAGACTCAGTAGGCCCCATGGCGCCGTCGACAATAGATTTCTGATCACCGCAGGACGCGACTTCCACCGTCACCACCGTCACCATCTGCACATATTCACATTTAAAGCTTGGTCCACCCTGCAAGGGTTCGCGCAGCGTGAACTCGGCAGAGAGCTGCCAAATCTCCTGGATAAAGCTTGTACATACAAAGTCAAATTCGATCGCGATTAGCACTGTACCGATTTAGAAATTGAAATCGATATCGTCGATCACAGTTGCAACGGCGGAAGACGGTCCATTAGGAACGGATCCACATTCCTATACGCATCTATGTTTACGCTGCAACCAACTCCGACGGCCATAGGCTCCGTGGTGCCCCCCTGGTCGGCGGGAACGTTGATAGAGCGCCTACCGTCATTAGAGGACATGGCTCACAAGGGTAAGCGCGCAATCTGTGGGTCCCTTTAAATATATATAAGAAGAAAATACCTTCCGCTGTGAAAACATATTTTTTTGTTAAGCCAAATGGAGATCACTTAATCACCTCTTACAAGGTGCATATTGGTCTAAACATACCGCTGCAGTGGTCACCATACATATTTGCATAGCCCAGCATGTCGTTTTAAGTAGGACATCTGTCGTTACCTGTGCGTGTATCGTTGGAGCTCCTCCCTTTGCCGGCGAGTTAGGGAACTGCCGAAGCTCAAGCAAAAAGCTCTTTTAAAATAATTTTTGGTCACAAAATTTAGTTTTTAGAAATCGTCACGTTTTTTATTCAGATTTTTTGATATCAAACCATTTTGTTTTTAGATCAGTTTAAGATGTAAACAATCAAATGAGAGCAGGTACAAAAATGATATATTTTTAAAATTATTATATTTTAGACTCGATGTTTAAAAGCAATAAAGCTGGCTCGATTTTCCAATACATTTTAGGATCGTTCCTATGGCAGATAAATTGCATAGTGATTCTGAAATTGGTAAAAATTACTTTATCTCAGAGTATAGATAGAAACAACAAAGTTATAATTTATTCGCCTTTTCCCAATTAGGCCGATCAGGCCACTCCGACTTATACATACTCATACATAGCTTTGAAAAGCTTTAAAACTGATGGGTTACTTTGCCCATAAGCGGACGGACTGACATAAGAGTATAATAATTAGAGTCAAAAGTTAGCTATGCAATTATACTGCACATTTTCGTCCATATAAAGTATATATTTCCTCGACTGCGCGTCCGCCTGTCTGTTCGTCCGTTTGTCTTACCGAAGTTTTGTTTCTTTCTTGTTCACTCTTGCAGAGGGTTCTATAATTCGAGTCAGAAATTCTAAACGCGGAGTGCAGTGTCCGTCCGCTTGCTAACTTAGTTTTTAATATAGACCCCTGAAACTCGCGATTGTCTTTTATATGAGTTCGCAGATCGGAAATCTTAATACCATAGCTGTCATAGGAATGATCGGTTCAAATTTGATCTGGTCAATAATTTGATGTTTATAAAATCCTATAACTGCCATATTAATCACATACTAGCCCTTTGGTTTTATCCACTTAGAATGACTAGCAGTTTATATATAATCGGGTAAAATTAGCTAAATTTGGTTGATTTCAAAGAAGTATGTGTATATACTGCTGTTTGTCTAATTCAGAGACACATTGTACAATTATTTTTCTTATTAATATAATTCAAACAAAAAGTAAAGTTTACTAATAAAACATTGTTTCCATTTACGTGGAACCTTTTTCTCGGCCTATAAAAAAATAGTTTTTTTTTGTGAAATTCGAAAACCTTATTATTCAGATAATATTTAGGAAGGCCAGAAATACTATATTCATGTGTAATAAGAGAGATGGGAAGAAAATAAAAGTAAGAACACTAAAAATTCCTGTTCTATGAAATGAATAAATTAATAATAAATTATTTGTATTACATTACGTAAAGATTTAAATTTTACAGTAAATTCGTCCAAAAATTCGTGCAGTTAAAATGCTGAAATCGTTAAAAAGACCAACTTTTTAACAATGGTTACAATAAGCAAATATTCGTACCAAAAACTTTTGTAAATTTATCGCTGTTAAAGTAAAGTTAACATGCTTATTAGTATTATTACTAAACTCAACCCAAAGCGTTTTGATGTGGGTGCGCTTGTTTTCCAACTAGTGTGAAAAGGACGCACGAAAAGATGTAGCAAAGTACTTAGTTGGTAACAAATTTTGTGGTTAATTTAATCGCCAATGCAGTACAAAATTTAACAAAAACAAGGACGAAAACTAAGTTTGGCATCCCGAAGTTTTTCTGCAATTTGCCGAAATTACAAAAGTAACTTGATCTGCGTACTCATGTTTTAGGACAACTGTGAAAGTTTCAGATCGCTAGCTTTTAAACTGAGCTGGCAAACGGTATTGAAACAGACGGACAGTAGGACATGATCCTGATCAAAAATATATATACTTTATGGGATCGGAAACGTCTCCTTCACTGCGTAACAAACTTCTGTCCAGAATTATAATACCCTCTGCAAGGGTATAAAAACACACTATCATAACTATACGTTAAATTTTCCTTAAAATACTAGATTACTTGATACTAGATTTTGTCGTTTTATACGGTTCGAGTACTGGTATGTACATATATACATATAAAGATATATTTTTTTGGGCATAAATTATTATTTTCTTTTCATACTTATACCAATGATTTATTTTTTGAGTAAATATAGATTTAATCTGGCGTTTAGTAGCTTTTTACAATTCCAGTCATACGTTTTCAATTTTATAAAAGTAACACAACTTATTATTAAGCTGTCATCAGATCCTTCATACATTTCCGGTTGGCAGCTAAATAGCAAAGCCTATGCCTATTTTGAAAGTTTGATGAAGAAAATTTTAAATCTTAGATACCCAAAGTTTGGAGAGCCGAAGAGATAAACGGACATGGTTCTGTTGATTTACATATTTTAAAATGCTGATAAAGAACATATATACTTTTAAGTGCCTTAAATGTAAAACTATAATAGCCTAATTAAGGATATAACAGGCGGATATACTTCTGCGATTTATATTGAACTTACATTTTTGAAAATCAAACATTTCAAAACACGATTTTAAGACAAATGCATTACTATTATCACATTGTTGTCCCAAACTTATTGACTTTTCTTCAATATATACTTTTAATACTTATGCGGCAAGTAACTTTCTTTTTTTTGTGGTACTTATAGATCTATGTTACTAACAAAATACAAACATGAAAAACATAGCACAGTGACTCCTTGATACGAATTTTACCCCTATGCTTTGCTCTTTTTTTATAGACAACGTGCTTGCAATGAGAAATTTACCCTGTTTGGGTACCGCTGGTGGTAGCGGACTAGGCGGTATTACCGGAAAGCCTTCCCCTACAATGGAAGGCGTGGAGACCGGGACGGCGTCGCAGCCCCATTCGACATCGTCGTACTTTGCCACGACTTACTACCATTTAACCGATGATGAATGTACGTTTTAATAAGTAATGCCAAGCAATTCCCTTTCCACATCCGCCCGTGTCTAGATAGCCCCACGGTCTCCCTATCACACCAAATTTTAATACGTTTTCCCAATATATTTATATGTACTGCGAAGCAATTACTGCAAGCGTTAACTTTCTGCCGATTTTACACATTACATATATTTAAATAGGATTGGCTTTACTTTAAAGTCATTTAATAAATTGTTTTGGTATATCTTACTTCCTGAAGTTGGTTTACTTATTAATGTTCAAGGATAGGATTTTTAAAAATGAAACAACGTTTATCTTTCCTGCATGTGGAAACATGCAACCAAAAAGACTGAGACACTCGAATATACAGGTTCATACTTTATTGAGGAGATAATGTGAATTGCTGATTTTAGTCACTCTGAAACGTAGTAGTACTCGAGCTAATGAAGTGAAACAACATTGGCTTGAATTGTCAACTTTTCACAATCGAAAGCGATTAGACGTGCCAGAACCAGATATGGTCCCACAAAAGATCTGATACGGAGTTAAAAAAATAGAGCCATTGCGATAACCGTTTTCCTTAACTAAATATGTGCTATTAAAACTCGGTATTGGCGTGAAAACAGCTCAATGTCCAGGTAAACCCAAAGAATACAGCTCAATGCGATCGGCAGAGGCATTGTTCAGTGGCTGACTCGAAATCGCGCACATGCTGCCAATTACAGTAGCACAATGGGAAGAGCTGATCATCGGTGACAATTGGGATCGGCATGGACTTTCAAGACGGTGATGAGCCAAACAATATTTTACGAATTGCGGACTAGCTTATAGGCATCGGCATCGGCATCGGCATCCCTCAAATTCCATTTTCAATCACAAACTCATCCCCAGCCCGTCGAGCTGTTAAGTACTCTCCGCCAGGTCAGCTTATTGTTGTGCTCGTGAATCAATACAATAATTTTCCACCTTTAATGATCTTGAAGTGTGTGTTCGTTGTCGACGACCGTTTCGTGTCATGTCGTTACAAATGAAAACAATTATTGGCACTGAAAGCCGAAGTCGAGTAAATACAAATACACACAATGCACTCTGAAATGCCAAATGAGCCTCTTTAGCGGCTGCAGGGGACTAGCATTGTACCCAGTACCCAGTATCCAGTACCCACCCCGTCGGTCCTGTCCATTTTTGCAGACAAGGGAAAGACTGTCCTGCCCCTGAAGGGACCAGTCCCCTAGAGGGTCCAGCTTCAGGACCCGAACCCTGTTGCTAAGCCATTGTTTTCCTCGCCGACAGATTTGTGTTGCAATTACATTATTAATCCCACTAGCAAGATGTTTTGGGAAATTGTATGCCCGTGCCCTGTAACATTGGCAAATCAAATTTTCGGCCAGCAATCCCATTTGGCAGTCTGTGCATTGGTATTACAATAAAAATATTATACTTTCGTCTTGCGGGATCTGAATACCTTATAGAGACCTGGGCACAGGTTGTCGGTTCCGAGAGAAAAGTTGCTCGATTCGACTTTTTTGTTGAGTCATGTTATCGAGTTGATGTCGACGAGTTGCCCCCGCATACAAATGTTGTGAGGCGCTTAACTGCAATTTATTAATCTCAAGGCGCTCTAAAGAGACATCTCAATTTAATTAAGATCAAAACAAAAACGAGCTCGGCTCGGAAATTTATCATCAGACGCATTCCGATCCGATTCTGAAAACAGAAAAGTCACTCGGATTAGCCCTTTGTCAGAAGCTGACTTTCATATGCATGTATCTAGGTATTGCTGCCGCCTCGATGATTTCTTTACCAATAAAGCAGTAAATTGATACGCAGATTTTGGGATTTTATTTCAATAAGTCCCAATACTCGGAAATTTATATAAAACCCTTCCATTCTTATGCTTGACCTGAACACCAAGTATGCCCTTTTTTAGCCTTTTGGTTTTTTTCCTTTTGCGCTCTCCTTCGTACTTCAGATAAATACACTTAAAAATGTTTTTATTTCATTTTAAATCGCAATCGCAAAAATAGTGTAATAATATTCGATACACTTTTTTATGTTAGATATTGTTTAAAAAACCTTTAAAAAGCCCTGAGATTTTAAAAATGTAAAAATCAGAGAAAATGTAAATTGTAAATTGCAAGACCCAACAAATAACAAATTAAGTTTAAAATATGTTATTCAAGTTTTGAAATATGTATTAGAAAGCAGTATTTTTTAGTGTTGCATGGCTTTGTGTATTAATACTATGTTGTTCAGACTAAACAGGGACCAATTTGGCCCTCGTATACAAATTGAGATGCTAAGTCCCGCCTTAAAGGCACAGAAAAAGTTATCAAGTTGGTTTTATCCCCCTCAACATTTCCATCTCGAATTTGGGTCGACGAATGTATTTTGACGTCTTTAAAAGCGTGACAAACCGAATTATTCGCCTCATTGCCACAAGCTTATTCTTATGTGAATGTATGGAAGTGTACATCCGAGTGCGCATCGGCGGGCAGTTACAGTCGAACATTGACGAGCCCGATTAGGTTGTGGCAATAAAATTGACCCTGAGAACTATTAAATTAGAAATATTACCCATATATTACATATCTTCATTGTGTTTTGCAGGTCACAGTGGAGTAAATCAGTTGGGCGGCGTTTTCGTTGGTGGGAGACCCTTGCCAGATTCAACACGACAGAAAATTGTCGAACTGGCCCATTCTGGAGCACGACCGTGTGATATTTCTCGGATTCTACAAGTATCCAATGGATGCGTGAGCAAAATTCTCGGCAGGTAGGATCCCTCTTTATTTTTTCTAACTCACCAAATTTGCCGATAATAACCTCAAGGTTAGCTTGCAGCATTACCTGTTTGTTTTTTGGATCTTCCAGCACATACACGCATAAAAACTCTCAAAAACGGAACAAGTTGAGACATATATATAAATATAAATAATATATTTGGCGCTTAAAATATTAATTCATATTTTAAAACTTTTGATTTTGTCAGCTTTTAAAGACTTTTCAAGCCCAAGCTAAAACAAGAGAGAACGCTATAGTCGGGTGCCCCGACTATCAGATACCCGTTACTCAGGTAAAGGGAGTGCGAGGGAGATGGAGATGGAAACTTTGATCACGCATAACTTTTTAACGAATGGTCCGATTTGAAAAATTTCTTCTACATTTCGATAGGTATTGATAAACACAATAAAACTGCATTTTTACTTTTCCGAAATATATATTATATCGTATATAAGCGATTGTGGGCGTTAAAGGGGGCGTGGCACCTTTTTGAAACAAACTTGCGCTGCGTAGGAACTCCTAGAATCTGCATGCAAAATGCCAATCTTCTAGCTTTTATAGTTTCCGAGATCTCAGCGTTCATACGGACGGACAGACAGACGGACAGACAGACGGACAGACAGACGGACAGACGGACAGACAGACAGACGGACATGGCTATATCGACTCGGCTAGTGACCCTGATCAAGAATATATATACTTTATAGGGTCGGAAACGCTTCCTTCTACCTGTTACATACTTTTGCACGAATACAATATACCCTTTTACTCTACGAGTAACGGGTATAACAATGTCTTCTAGCGCTGCCTTATTGGAAATCTGTGAAAATACTTTAATAACTCCAGTTCAATTCGATAATTTGATTTTTATATGCAAATAAATTTTCTCTTGCCGCTGTATTTGATGGCTAATAGGGTCTGATGGTTGATAGCTGGATCCACTGCTTATAGTCCGGCTACTACACAAATATTTAGCTTTAGATTTAACAAGAAAGAGAAGCAAACTTCTGCAATCCGATGTTTTTATACCCTTGAAGTTATTACAAAACAAGAAAGGAAAGCTAACTTCGGGCGGAGCCGAAGTTGATATACCCTTGCAGAATACTCTGTAAATTATATTCTCCAAAATTATTCATATGATGCATTTTTAATACTCATAAAAAATCCCATCTTCCTAACTTTAAAAACATCAAAGTTATGGCATTTCCAATCGTTCAGTTATATGGCAGCTATAGAATATGGTCGGCCGATCCATATAAAATTTGGTAGGTCGGATTAATTGGCCAAAAATAAAACCCATAGGAAATCCCAGCTTCCTAACTTTACAAACACCAAAGTTATGGCATTTCCGATCAATCAGTTATATGGCAGCTATAGGATATAGTCGGCCGATCCTTATGAAATTTGGTAGGTCGGATTGATTGGCCAAAAATGAAACCCATAGGAAATCCCAGCTTCCTAACTTTTCAAACACCAAAGTTATGGCATTTCCGATCAATCAGTTATATGGCAGCTATAGGATATAGTCGGCCGATCTTTATGAAATTTGGTAGGTCGGATTGATTGGCCAAATATAAGACCCATAGGAAGTCCCAGCTTCCTAACTTTACAAACACCAAAGTTATGGCATTTCCGATCAATCAGTTATATGGCAGCTATAGGATATAGTCGGCCGATCCCGGCCGTTCCGACTTATATACTGCGTGCAAAGGAAAGAATGGTGTGTGCAAAGTTTGAACTCGATATCTTTAAAACTGAGAGACTAGTTCGCGTAGAAACAGACAGACGGACAGACAGACGGACAGACGGACATGGCTATATCAACTCAGGAGGTGATCCTGATCAAGAATATATATACTTTATAGGGTCGGAGATGTCTCCTTCACTGCGTTGCACACTTTTGACCAAAATTATAATACCCTCTTGAAGGGTATAATGACTACATTTCGATTTCTATGCCTATATTGCGCTGCAGTTTGCAATAGTTTCTATGGCAGCTATAGAGCAATGAATATAAAAACATATTACCTGTATATATTTATAAATATATATATTTTATATATATATATAAAAGGTAGGCTATAAATTTAAAAACAAGAAAGGAAAGCTAACTTCGGGCGGAGCCGAAGTTGAAATACCCTTGCAGAATATTCTGCAAATTATATTCTCCAAAATTATTCATATGATGCATTTTTAATACTCATAAAAAATCCCACCTTCCTAACTTTAAAAACACCAAAGTTATTTCATTTCCGATCAATCAGTTATATGGCAGCTATAGGATATAGTCGGCCGATCCTTATGAAATTTAATATGTCGAATTGATTGGGCCAAAATAAAACCCATAGAAAATCCCAACTTCCTAACTTTACAAACACCAAAGTTATGGCATTTCCGATCAATCAGTTATATGGCAGCTATAGGATATAGTCGGCCGATCCTTATGAAATTTGGTAGGTCGGATTGATTGGCCAAATATAAAACCCATAGAAAATCCCAACTTTCTAACTTTACAAACACCAAAGTTATGGCATTTCCGATCAATCAGTTATATGGCAGCTATAGGATATAGTCGGCCGATCCTTATGAAATTTGGTAGGTCGGATTGATTGGCCAAATATAAAACCCATAGAAAATCCCAACTTCCTAACTTTACAAACACGAAAGTTATGGCATTTCCGATCAATCAGTTATATGGCAGCTATAGGATATAGTCGGCCGATCCCGGCCGTTCCGACTTATATACTGCGTGCAAAGGAAAGAAGGGTGTGTGCAAAGTTTCAATCCGATAGCTTTAAAACTGAGAGACTAGTTTGCGTAGAAACAGACAGACGGACAGACGGACAGACGGACAGACGGACATGGCTATATCAACTCAGGAGGTGATCCTGATCAAGAATATATATACTTTATAGGGTCGGAGATGTCTCCTTCACTGCGTTGCACACTTTTGACCAAAATTATAATACCCTCTGCAAGGGTATAATAAAACAAGAAAGGAAAGCTAACTTCGGGCGGAGCCGAAGTTGATATACCCTTGCAGAATATTCTGTAAATTATATTATCCAAAATTATTCATATGTACATTAATAATACTCATAAAAAGTCACAACTTCCTAACTTTAAAAACACCAAAGTTATGACATTTCCGATCGTTCAGTTATATGGCAGCTATCTGATATAGTCGCCCGATCCGGCTCGTTCGGACTTATATATGTACTACCTGCAATAGAAAGACGGACAGACGGACATGGCTAGATCGACTCTCCTGGTGATGCTGATCCAGAATATATATACTTTATAGGGTCGGAAATGTCTCCTTCACTGCGTTGCAAACTTTTGACTGAAATTATAATACCCTTTGCAAGGGTATAAAAATAAAACCTATAGAAAAAATCCCAACTTCCTAACTTTACAAACACCAAAGTTATGGCATTTGCGATCAATCAGTTATATGGCGGCTAAAGGATATAGTCGGGTGCTCCCGGCCGTTCCGACATATATACTGCGTGCAAAGGAACGAAGGGTGTGTGCAAAGTTTCAATTCGATATCTAGTTCTATCTATCTAGAGACTAGTTCGCGTAGAAACAGACAGACGGACAGACAGAAAACTTTGAAAACTAGTCCCTCAGTTTTAAAGCTATCTGCTTGAAACTTTCCCAAAAGTTGTCTTTCTGTTGCAGGTAGTATATAAGTCGGAACGAGCCGGATCGGGCGACTATATCATATAGTTCCCATAGAAACAATCGAAAACAAGAAAGGAAAGCTAACTTCGGGCGGAGCCGAAGTTGATATACCCTTGCAGAATACTCTGTAAATTATATTCTCCAAAATTATTCATATGATGCATTCTTAATACTCATAAAAAATCCGAACTTCCTAACTTTAACAACAACAAAGTTATGGCATTTCCAATCGTTCAGTTATATGGCAGCTATAGGATATAGTCGGCCGATCCTTATGAAATTTGGTAGGTCGGATTGATTGGCCAAAAATAAAATCCATAGAAAATCCCAACTTCCTAACTTTACAAACACCAAAGTTATGGCATTTCCGATCAATCAGTTATATGGCAGCTATAGGATATAGTCGGCCGATCCTTATGAAATTTGGTAGGTCGGATTGATTGGCCAAAAATAAAATCCATAGAAAATCCCAATTTTCTAACTTTACAAACACCAAAGTTATGGCATTTCCGATCAATCAGTTATATGGCAGCTATAGGATATAGTCGGCCGATCCTTATGAAATTTGGTAGGTCGGATTGATTGGCCAAAAATAAAATCCATAGAAAATCCCAACTTCCTAACTTTACAAACACCAAAGTTATGGCATTTCCGATCAATCAGTTATATGGCAGCTATAGGATATAGTCGGCCGATCCTTATGAAATTTGGTAGGTCGGATTGATTGGCCAAAAATAAAATCCATAGAAAATCCCAATTTTCTAACTTTACAAACACCAAAGTTATGGCATTTCCGATCAATCAGTTATATGGCAGCTATAGGATATAGTCGGCCGATCCTTATGAAATTTGGTAGGTCGGATTGATTGGCCAAAAATAAAATCCATAGAAAATCCCAACTTTCTAACTTTACAAACACCAAAGTTATGGCATTTCCGATCAATCAGTTATATGGCAGCTATAGGATATAGTCGGCCGATCCTTATGAAATTTGGTAGGTCGGATTGATTGGCCAAATATAAAACCCATAGAAAATCCCAACTTTCTAACTTTACAAACACCAAAGTTATGGCATTTCCGATCAATCAGTTATATGGCAGCTATAGGATATAGTCGGCCGATCCCGGCCGTTCCGACTTATATACTGCGTGCAAAGGAAAGAAGGGTGTGTGCAAAGTTTCAATCCGATAGCTTTAAAACTGAGAGACTAGTTTGCGTAGAAACAGACAGACGGACAGACGGACAGACGGACAGACGGACAGACGGACATGGCTATATCAACTCAGGAGGTGATCCTGATCAAGAATATATATACTTTATAGGGTCGGAGATGTCTCCTTCACTGCGTTGCACACTTTTGACCAAAATTATAATACCCTCTGCAAGGGTATAAAAACAATTCAAAAAAATTTTTTTTTGGATTTGGTAACACTTAAATATAAAGGAATTACGGTTTTAATTAAATTAAAAACGAACAACAATATCATATAGCTGCCATAGAAACGATGACAAAATGCAGCGCAAAATCGACATAGCTTCATTGTTTTTAGTAATATAGGCGTATAAATCGAAATGTAGCCGTTTTGTGATAACTGCAAGGTATATAAACTTCGGCTTGCCGAAGTTTGCTTCCTTTCTTGTTCATTTTCATTTTCAAGATAGCTGTAAAATAGTGTAGCTCCGGAGGATAAACGGATGTGGTTTTTGCGGCCAGTCCTACGTGCGCTGATTTAAGCGAAACCTGCGACAATATTTTTAAGTGATTGTTGTCCAATAATGTCGAATATTGGTCACAACCTTATAGGATTACAACAAAAAAACTATTTTCCTGTTTTCCCATCAAAATGAATTAAGTAACAGGCTTATTTCTAAAATAAGTTTAGTTTCTACCAATTGCTGAGAAGAAACTTTTGTTTTTTTTTGAAAATACATTTTCACAAATTAAGCCTTTTTAGTTTTGTTAAAAGTTTTTAAAGATACATTTAAGTAAAAGAATCAAAAGCTGAATTTTAAAACTTAGGGCCCACCAAATATTACTAAAAGTTATCAACTTATTTTAATCCAACACATACTTCTGAATACAATCAATCAAATTGCAGGGCAACGAGCAACACTTAATAAACACTTGATTAATACATTAATATAAATATTGTTTACTTTACTCTAATCGGTGCATTTATACTTTTAATGAGCAGTTATTAATCTTTTTTGAAATGACTCATGTTCCATCTTACTTTAAAACTATTACTCGTAGCTTAATAACAACAATGACTTTTTTCTAGGTACTATGAAACTGGAAGTATAAGACCTCGTGCTATTGGTGGATCCAAGCCTCGTGTGGCTACAGCTGAAGTGGTTAGCAAAATTTCGCAATATAAACGCGAGTGCCCGAGCATATTTGCATGGGAAATCCGAGACAGATTACTTCAGGAGAACGTTTGTACCAACGATAATATTCCAAGTGTAAGTGACTCGAACTCTATTAAAGCATGCATGCGATTACTTTCATTTGTTTTCGAGGCTCGAACAAATATACAATGCAATCGCCCAACTTTAGAACTTTACTTTTCCGACAAAAAGTGTTCGGCAAATCTGCACCAAAACGATTCGTTTGTAAAATTCGCCGCAGCCATTTTCTTTTCCCCAGCATTAACATTTTCTTTCGGACTTTTTTATATTATTTATTAAGTATGCCAAAAAAGCAAGCCGAATGAATTGTGACAGCGATGCTCATGCCGATGGCCGCCTCCATGGCCGATGTCGTTGTCCTCCTTGCTTGCCTTGTCCTTTTCCCATTGACAGTTGTGTGGAAAATGTGCTCGTTCAGATGGAAGGGAAAATCTTTTATGCACATTAAACGACTAAAAGGGAAATCAGTGCTAGAAAAATGTATGAAAAAATACAATATTAAATAAATACGGCCCGCCGCCACCACAAACCGTTAAGCGTTGAAATTCACGCGCCAGTGCGAGGGGGAACTGCTGAATCACGTTTACATCTGGAATCGGATTCGGGTCGTTCTCGAATTAGGGTGAGAATCGGAATCGACCATTTCGGGCTCAGGTCCACATGAGGACAAGGTATGGTGCGGGAACTGTTTGTGCATCGACTATTCTTAGGTCTTGACTAAGACGATTTTGTTGATAAGTGACAACTACTTAGTGCTCGATTAGCACCTGCACTTGCTGTCCCGAAAAACGCGAAAGTATTGCCATGAAGGGAACGACGTCAGCAGGCGCTAGTTTGGCAGAAGACGGAGCTCATTTTAAAAAATCAGTTTCAACGTTGCTCGCGTACCCCCTGGTAAAGGACATTCTGCCTAATTTTTCCACTCAACTGCACTTTTCCCTGTTGTTTTTCTACGTTCGCTCGCTCGCTCGCTCGCTCATTTATATGTTTGCCCGATTATGCTCCTTTTTCCTTTTCTTTTTCTTTTTATTTTCCTTTCCTTTGAATTTGTTTGAAAAGCGTTGTCAAGCGCAGGCACGGCATTAATACAATAAGAAACTGAATAAATTGCAATCCAAAGCAAACAAAAGTGCCATGTTTGCGACTGGAACCTGAAATTGCTAACTTTACTGATTTTTGAGTTCAGGCTTTTTCGCAAGTGCCGATCTGAGATTTCTCGCAAAAGTCAACATAGCCCACTATAGCCAAGAATTACTCGTACAGAAGATCTGACCAAATACAACCCCACGTTCCAGGTGTCATCCATAAACCGAGTGCTGCGAAACCTGGCGGCCCAAAAGGAGCAGCAGAGCTCGGGAACGAGTGGCTCTGCTGCGGGCACCGGCGCGGGCAACCCGCCCAGCGCCAAGGGCAACACCAGTGGCAGCATCAGCAGCGCCTCCAACGGATCGAGGCCCGCCCACACACTGAGCTCCTCCACCGACCTCATGCAGACGGCCACGCCCCTGAACTCCTCGGAAAGCGGCGGGGCGAGCAACTCCGGCGAGGGCAGTGAGCAGGAGTCGATCTACGAGAGGCTCCGGCTCCTCAACACACAGCACGCCGCCGGTCCGATGGACCAAGCCACAGCTGCCCCGCTAGTGGGCCAGGCACCCAGCCACTTTGGGCCCCACTCCGGCCACCCACTCAACCAGCTGGTGCACGGCAACCAGCAGGTGCTCCAGCAGCAGCAGCAGAGCTGGCCGCCGCGCCACTACGCTTCCGGAGCCTGGTACTCCACCTCACTGGGGGGCAGTGAAATGCCCATCTCGTCGGCTTCCAGCATCGCCTCGGTGGCGTATGCCGCAGGTCCTTCGCTCGCGCAGCCTTTGAGTCCGCCGGACGACATCGCCGGCCTGGGCAGTGGCAACCACCTGAGAAATTGCCCCGGGACCACGGAGGACATTCATTTAAAAAAGGGTAAGTTTTGGCGACTTGACAGTCGAACTATACTACCGATATTTGAAAACCGAAATCTTCGTGTTCACCAACAAGTTACTTCATAGTCAAAATTTATTTATTAATTATTGCCCCTAAAAGCTATGCAGGCAAGTAGCTGGAATCTTTCCTTATTTTAAGATCGATATGTTTTCGATTTCAAATAGAAAGTATTTTTGATTTCTAAGTTAAAAAATAAAAAAGATCGTGATTAGTTTAACTATGTCCTTTATTTTAAGTCTTAGTCTTGATTGTTATTTCAATTTTATTTAAAATGTATAGTTTACTAAAGTTTAGTTTAATAAAATAAGAAGTTCCTCGACAAATACAATTTAAAAACCCTTTGTTTTCTGTGTAGCTCCTCCTCGTTTTTTTGTCCATCATGCTACAAATAACTTTCTTTTTAATTATCAGTTCACTACTTCATATATAAAATTTCATTATATCATAACGATTGTAAGCTCGAAATAAGTTTCTGGCAATAATATCGTTATTTATTTATTTGTAATTTTTACAAACTTTGATGTAACAATACAATAAACAAGAAAGGAAAGCTAACTTCGGGCGGAGCCAAAGTTGAAATACCCTTGCAGAATATTCTGTAAATTATATTCTTCAAAATTATTCATATGATGCATTCTTAATACTCATAAAAAATCCCAACTTCCTAGCTTTAAAAACAACAAAGTTATGGCATTTCCAATCGTTCAGTTATATGGCCGCTATAGGATATAGTCGGCCGATCCCTATGAAATTTGGTGGGTCGGATTGATTGGCCAAAAATAAAACCCATAGAAAATCCCAACTTCCTAACCTTACAAACACCCAAGTTATGGCATTTCCGATCAATCAGTTATATGGCGGCTATAGGATATAGTCGTCCGATCCTTATGAAATTTTGTAGGTCGGATTAATTGGCCAAAAATAAAACTTATAGAAAATCCCAACTTCCTAACTTTAAAAACACCAACGTTATGGCTTTTCCGATCGTTCAGTTATATGGCAGCTATATGATATAGTCGCCCGATCCGGCTCGTTCCGACTTATATACTACCTGCAATAGAAAGACAACTTTTGGGAAAGTTTCAAGCAGATAGCTTTAAAACTGAGAGACTAGTTTGCGTAGAAACGGACGGACGGACAGACGGACAGACGGACATGGCTATATCAACTCAGGAGGTGATCCTGATCAAGAATATATATACTTTATAGGGTCGGAAATGTCTCCTTCACTGCGTTGCAAACTTTTGACTGAAATTATAATACCCTCTGCAAGGGTATAATAATATAATAAAATAAAAGTAGGGAGTAAGGAATGACAATTTAAAAAATTAAGTATTGCTTGGATTGACAAACATATTCATAATAAATAAAATTGAAACTTAAGACTAGTTCAGTTGCAAAATTGGGAATTCAGAGAGTAAGGACGATACAAACGGATTTAAGCTTTTGGACGAAAGAAGATGGGCATGAAATATTCATGCATAACTGATATAGTAAATAATTAATATATCTCAAAGGAAAATTTTTATAAATAGAAAAACAGAGAAAACAATTTTTTTTTATTAATTTTTAGATTTTCCTATGGGAGCTATATACCAACTCCCAAAGAACAAAAAATTAAAAACAACAAAGTTATTCTTAAAAAAAATTTTTTTTTTTTCGATTTTTCCCATGGGAGCTATATGATATAGTCGCCCGATCCGTCTCGTTCCGACTTATATACATGCAGGTGCACCTGCAATAGAAAGACAACTTTTGGGAAAGTTTCAAGTAGTTAGGTTTATAACTAAGGGAGAAACGAACGAAGAATATATGTACTTTGTAGGGTCGGAAAAGTCTCCTTCGCTGCGTTGCAAACTTTTGACTAAAATTATACTACCCTCTGCAAGGGTATAATAAATATGGACAAACCTTCGAATATCTGAATGCCATAGCATCTTAAGCTCCGACTGCAAGCATGTACAATGTACAATCCGAGCGCAGCCCACCACATTTTATTTTACTCTATGTACGCACGAGCGAACTTGGCATTTGCAAATTTTCGTTTGCTGATATGCCGTTTTATTTTCTTATTTATCAGTTATAAAAGTCTACAGCTCGAACAGAAGGTTGACGTGTCGTGCGTAAATGCGGGAAGCACGTGACCAACTTGTAATGCACTTGGCTCTGATTGTCTCAAACATCCCAAGTCTTTCGAATTTTCACAATTATTTTTATTGTGAACTTTCTCCAGCCTCAGTTCCACATTAAAGCTTTAATAAGATGGTTTCCCCGGACAATCATTAGTCCTTCTAAACCCAATCTTAAACCAATCGCGCTTACACTGCGCGAATAAACTGCGAAGGCGGTCAGTATGACAGATACATACATAAAAGCTATAGATTTTACTATCTACATTCTTGACAGGAGGTGCACTTCGTTCCTGGTATGATGATTTGGCGGTTTGGATTTCCGAGAGCATGTTGGTATTCTATTTATTGCTATAATTTGGTCAGCCTATTATAGATTTCAGTTTTACTTTAAAACAAGAAAAAGGAAACAAATATTCTATATTTCGATAAATCATTTGATCGTTTCTATGGCAGCTGTAACAAGAAAGAAAGCAAACTTCGGCGAGCCGAAGATTTTAAAAACAATGAAGCTATGTCGAACTAAATGCGTAATTCTAATATAGCATATACTTGTAATTACTATATCTCAAAGGAATATTTTGATAAATAGTAAAACGGCAAAATAATTTTTTTTTAAATTGTTTTATTTTTCTATGGGAGCTATATAATATGGCTAGGTCCACTCTCCTGGTGATGCTAATCAAGTATATAACACTGTAGGGTCGGAAATGTATCATTCACTGCGTTGCAAACTTTTGACTCAAATTATAATACCCCCTGCAAGGGTTTAAAAATAACTATATCTCGGAGCATGTTGGTATATGTTAAGAAACAAAGAAGTTAACATTTTATTTCCCTTTACGCGATTCTTCCAATGGCAGCTATATGATATAGGATGATATAGTATCCTATTTTTATAAAACTAAAACCGTATTTCTGAAATTGATAAAATAAAATCCGAGTATCAGAGTAAATTCTGGTTAAGAAATAACCATGTTATGATATTATTTATTTTCCTCCTATATATGATATAGTAGGCCGATCCGACTTATGCACCACCAGCAACTGAAAGAAAACTTTTTACGAAGTTTCATCCACATAGCTTCAAAACTGAGGGACTAGTTTGCGTAGTAATAAAAAACAAGAAAGGAAAGCTAACTTCGGGCGGAGCCGAAGTTGATATACCCTTGCAGAATACTCTGTAAATTATATTCTCCAAAATTATTTATATGATGCATTCTTAATACTCATAAAAAATCCCAACTTCCTAACTTAACAAACACCAAAGTTATGGCATTTCCGATCAATCAGTTTTATGGCGGCTATAGGATATAGTCGGCCGATCCTTATGAAATTTTATATCCTTGCAGGGGGTATTATGTTATATTATATTATATATTCTTGATCAGTATCACCTCCTGAGTTGATATAGCCATGCCCGTCTGTCTGTCCGTCTGTCCGTCCGTCTGTCCGTTTCTTTGCAAACTAGTCCCTCAGTTTTAAAGCTATCTGCTTAAAACTTTCCCAAAAGTTGTCTTTCTATTGCAGGTAGTATATAAGTCGGAACGAGCCGGATCGTATATCATATATCTCCCATAGGAACAATCGAAAAAAAATTTTTTTTTAAATATAACTTTTTGTTTTTAATTTTTTTTTTTTTATTTGGGATTTGGAAATGTTTAAATACTAGTACGGCTTTAATTAAGTTAAACTCGGACATCTATATTATATAGCTCCCCTTGCATATAAAAAAAATTAAAACAAGAAAGGAAAGCTAACTTCGGGCGGAGCCGAAGTTGATATACCCTTGCAGAATACTCTGTAAATTATATTCTCCAAAATTATTCATATGATGCATTCTTAATACTCATAAAAAATCCCAACTTCCTAACTTTAAAAACACCAAAGTTATGGCATTTCCAATTGTTCAGTTATATGGCAGCTATAGGATATAGTCGGCCGATCCATATGAAATTTGGTAGGTCGGATTGATTAGCCAAATATAAAACCCATAGAAAATCCCAACTTCCTAACTTTACAAACACCAAAGTTATGACATTACCGATCAATCAGTTATATGGCAGCTATAGGATATAGTCGGCCGATCCTTATGCAATTTGGTAGGTCGGATTGATTAGCCAAATATAAAACCCAAAGAAAATCCCAACTTCCTAACTTTACAAACACCAAAGTTATTGCATTTCCGATCAATCAGTTATATGGCAGCTATAGGATATAGTCGTCCGATCCTTATGAAATTTGGTAGGTCGGATTGATTAGCCAAATATAAAACACATAGAAAATACCAGCTTCCTAACTTTACAAACACCAAAGTTATTTCATTTCCGATCAATCAGTTATATGGCAGCTATAGGATATAGTTGGCCGATCCCGGCCGTTCCGACTTATATACTGCATGCAAAGAAAAGAAGGGTGTGTGCAAAGTTTCAATTCGATAGCTTTAAAACTGAGAGACTAGTTTGCGTAGAAACAGACAGACGGACAGACGGACAGACAGACGGACAGACGGACAGACGGACAGACGGACAGACGGACATGGCTATATCAACTCAGGAGGTGATCCTGATCAAGAATATATATACTTTATAGGGTCGGAGATGTCTCCTTCACTGCGTTGCACACTTTTGACCAAAATTATAATACCCTCTGCAAGGGTATAAAAATACAAATTAAAAACACTTTATTTTGCTGTTTTTCTATTTATTAAAATATTCTTTTGAGATATAGTAATAATTTACTATATCAGAATTATGCTTTTAGTTTTGTCGAAATCGGACAACAATATCAAATAGCTGCCAAAGAAACGATGTCAAAATGTAGTGCAAAATGTACTCGTTTTGTAATAAGTGTAATTGTATATAAACTTCGGCCTGCCGAAGTTTGCTTCCTTTCTTGTTCGATCTATTTTAATATTGTTTTGTACCTATTAAGTTAATTGGGGTCATATAAATATTAAAATTATAAAAATGCTTCTCTTTTTGTAAAAAATATTTAAATGCAAATCTCATTTAGAAGTCATGGATTTCGTTTAATAAGAAAAAAGAAGCCCCAGGCGAGTTCACCGACCTTAAACTAATTAGATCTTGCTTTTTGAATCTTTTATTTATAAAATAATTGGCTTCAAATATTTTGTTTCGTATCAGTGGCACTTATGATATTACTTCTGTTTACTTTCATCTATTTTGCCAGTAATGGCTCACAAAATGGAGGTTCCATGAGTGTCGTCGCTGTGGTATTTATTTGGCTGAATAAATCAGGCGGACTTTCTATACCAGTACCATCTCTCGACTCCAGCTTAACCAAGAACATGTGTGTCAGAACTGTCAGTGCTATAGAGACTCCGCCTCCACCTCCGCCTCCACCTCCACCCAACATTCCCCTTTCTAAGCAAGTATAGCTGTGGGGCAACCACTGCCGTTACCACTGCCGTGGTTGACAGGTTTACCCTTAAACGTGTAGTTTGCTTTAATGCGATTTACAGACTCATTTTACAGGCGATGACACTTCATTAAACGACAAACCGTGAGGGTGGCTGTGGTTAGAGATGGGTTCATGGTCAGGATTTGGATGCGTAGGGTTGGGGTGGGATTGGATGCGATGCGATGGCAAAGATGGGGGGTGCATAAATAGATTACAAAATACATATTTATAAAATTGTGTTTCAAATCCTCCTGTTGGAGTTGTGGCCTTATCAAAATGAGTACTCAACGCACTTGAATGCAAAAGTGTCGCACCACCGTCCTTAAACACAGGCTCGAGCTAGAACTCATCCTCCCAACTCACCCATTCCCAGTTTCCAGACACCGTCGCAGATCTGCTGGCTAGCAGCTCATGTCTTTTCGTTTTTGTTTCCTGGCATCTGACGCCGTCTGTCACTGTAACGCTGTTGCCGCTGTTGCCGCTGTCAGAACATGCAGCTCGCCAGTCAGTGACATGTGCTTTGAGGAGACGCAGGACAGGGTCTATCCCGCGGCTTGTCTCTGGGCTATCAGCGTCTATGTGCCTCGTCACATTCACTAACATTCAACGTCAATTACACACGTCTGTATACTGCCTATGTGTACTAGAACACACCTTAGCCAGAGCTGACCGTGGCTGTCACATAATGATTAGCGTTCTCCTTTGATGTGGCCGCTAGTGCGGATCTAACAGCTGCAAGCTAACCCTGCCTACGAAAATCCATTCCTAACTAAACCAATATTATAAAACATACAGAATCTCGAATTTCAATCGCACTTATGTATAACTTAAGGTCCTGTAAAAAAACAAAAACATATATGACATGAAGGGAAGCTAGTTCAAGCAAGCCTAACTTTATATGCCTTGGAGTTAAACGAAACAAGAAAGCTAGCAAACTTCGGCAAGCCGAAGTTTATATACCCTTGCAGTTATTACAAAACGACTACATTTCGATTTCTATGCCCATATTACTAAAAACAATAAAGCTATGTTGATTTTGCGCTACATTTTGCCGATATGTCCGATTGTCCGATTTTGAGAAAACTAAAAGCGTTATTGTGATATACTTAATTTATATTTATAATAATAAACCATATACGAAAGGAATATTTTGTAAATAGAAAAACAACAAAATAATAATTTTTTTATTGTATATATATTTTAAATTTTTTGATTTTCCAACGGGAATTTAATTTAATTAAAATGGTAATTCCATAGTATTTAAATATTACCAAATCCCAAAGAACAAAAAAAAAATTAAATTAGATTTTGTTTTATGTATTTATTGCTAACATTTGGTCAGCTTCATATTGATTAAAGTTTTACTTAATGGCAGCTATCGGATACAGTCGGCCGATACTTATGAAATTTGGTAGGTCGAATTGATTGGCCAAAAATAAAACCCATAGAAAATCCCAACTTCCTAACTTTACAATCGTTCAGTTATATGGCAGCTATAGGATATAGTAGGCCGATCCTTATGAAATTTGGTGTCCCTCAGTGTCCCTCAGTTTTAAAGCTATCTGCTGGAAACTTTCCCAAAAGTTGTCTTTTGTCTAGGTAGTACATAAGTCGGAACTAGTCGGATCGGGCGACGATATCATATAGCTCCCATAGGAACAAACGAGAAAAAATTCAAAAAATTATAACTTTGTGTTTATACCCGTTACTCGTAGAGTAAAAGGGTATATTGTATTCGTGCAAAAGTATGTAACAGCTAGAAGGAAGCGTTTCCGACCCTATAAAGTATATATATTCTTGTTCAGGATCACTAGCCGAGTCGATCTAGCCATGTCCTTCTGTCCGTCTGTCTGTCTGTCCGTCTGTCTGTCCGTCTGTCTGTCTGTCTGTCCGTATGAACGCTGAGATCTCGGAAACTATAAAAGCTAGAAGATTGGCATTTTGCATGTAGATTCTAGGAGTTCCTACGCAGCGCAAGTTTGTTTCAAAAAGGTGCCACGCCCCCTTTAACGCCCACAATCGCTTATATACGATTTTAAAAATTTAAATATTTCGGAAAAGTAAAAATGCAGTTTTATTGTGTTTATCAATACCTATCGAAATGTAGAAGAAATTTTTCAAATCGGACCATTCGTTAAAAAGTTATGCGTGATCAAAGTTTCTATCTCCATCTCCCTCGCACTCCCTTTACCTGAGTAACGGGTATCTGATAGTCGGGGCACCCGACTATAGCGTTCCCTCTTGTTTTAATTTTTTTTGTTCTGTGCGATTTGGTAATATTTAAATATTATGGAATTGTGGCTTTAATTAAATTAAAATGATATTGTTATCATATAGCTGCCATAGAAACGATGGCAAATGCAGCGCAAAATCGATATGTCTTCATTGTTTTTAGGCATAGAAATCGAAATGTTTGTAATAACTGCAAGGGTATATAAACTTCGGCTTGACGAAGTTTGCTTCATTTCTTGTTTAAATCATAACAAATAATTTTAAACTGTTTTTGCTATTCTCTTCGGCAGAACTCGATGGCCATCAGTCCGATGAAACGGGCTCCGGTGAAGGTGAAAATTCCAATGGTGGCGCTTCCAATTTGGGTAACAATGAGGATGATCAAGCTCGGCTAATACTTAAAAGAAAGCTGCAGCGTAATCGAACATCTTTTACAAACGATCAGATAGACAGCTTAGAAAAAGGTAAGAACATTTTGACTTATTTTAAAAAGCCTCCACAAAAAATACGAAGAAAAGAAAAAAAATGAATACAAAAAGCTTATAAATACTATTACTAAATGAAGCAAATCATTACAAAACCACATAACTTTTTTGTTGTCCGTTTACTAAACAATCATAAACGAGAAATTTCGGCGTGTTTTGGCAGAAGTGATTTTTACAGAAATCATCTTTTTTCTAGTATCAGATTTAAATATGAGCTTTATCAAAAAAACCAAGAATGCGTAAATGCATTTAAATACACTTGCAGAGGGTACGATAATTTTAGTCAGAAGTTTTAAACGCAAAAAAGGATAAATTTCCGACCAAATGAAGTGTATTAGAAGAATCATTCGAGTCGATCTAGCCTGTCCATCTGCCCGTTACTACACAAACTTAAATCTCTACAGTTTTATAAAAATAAATAATTGTATTAACTAATACATGTTTCCTATATCTGCAAGATAGCTGCCTTTTTTGTTAAATATACTATATTTACTTCAACTCTTAAAATAATTTTTTATAGAGTTTGAACGAACTCACTATCCAGATGTTTTTGCCCGCGAACGCTTGGCTGGAAAGATTGGTTTACCGGAGGCTAGGATCCAGGTTTGGTTCTCGAACCGGCGGGCAAAATGGCGCCGTGAGGAAAAACTTCGAAACCAGCGAAGAACACCAAATTCCACTGGAGCTAGTGGAACCTCGTCCTCAACGTCAGCAACTGCTTCCTTGACAGATAGTCCCAACAGCCTGAGTGCTTGTTCCTCTTTGCTGTCCGGATCGACTGCCGGTCCCTCTGTCAGTAAGTACAAACTAATTTGCGCACAATTTCGGAAAAGGACCCTATAACAAGAAACTAAAAACCTAAAGAATGTGCGCAACATTAAAGTTCTTCGAGTAAGAGATACTCGCCCCTCAATGTCTCCTAAACAAAAATGTTGTCAGAACACTGGTGTAATGTTATCCAAACCTTTAGTGCGAATAAACTTTTAAACAAACTTGGGGTGGGTGAGCATCAAAAGAGTCTAAAATTCATGAGCGCTTTTTGTCTGCTAGATTTCAACGTTCCTACCACCAGAAATGGTCCGGTAGAGACATTTTTTAAAACGCTATCGGTAACACGAAAATATATAAAAAAGCGTCATTCTTTGCAATCGGACGATCACAGCATAGATTTTCTTTTCTGCGTGTATATTTAATAGACGCCTTCGCCACACTCTAAGTACTCTTCGTCACTACGTGGACGACCGGACATAGTGATAGGTTGCAAATAAGATTGTGCAATGATTCTAGAGAAATGGTTTTAAAACGTAAGCGACCACCAACTGCAACATAACATTGAAACAAACCAGAAATTAAAAAAGTTTAAACTATGGCAATAAGACCACGCAGTCCGTCTCTCTGTCTGGCAGACTTCTCTTAAGGGGGGTATAGTTAATTCTGTGCAAAATCGGTCATTTTGTAAACATTTTTATTGGCGAAACGGATAGTCTCAGCTAAATTTTGATAGGACCAAATATAAACAACATGTGTGAATTTTTTCATCCAAAAATATTAAAAATTGAGTGAGATACAGGCAATCTTCGGCGGCGCCTCAAAGAAAACACGTTTTGCGGTGTATACGATAACAGGTCACAGAATCATCTGATTTGAAAAAATCAAATTGCTTTAGTTAAAGGACAAGATTTCTCACGTAGCGCTGTCGAATTTTTATTTTTTTTTATTTTTTTTCTATTATTTAAGGCACTTGAAAGTCAAAAACCCCGATTTTCGCCCAAAAAGTCGAGTTATTTGTTGCTCTAAAAATAATACATAAAAAAAAAACAAAAAAAAAACTCGACAGCGTTACCTGAGGAATCTGGTAGAGAAATACTGTGCAAAATCTCAAAACGATCCGTTCGATAGATTTTGCAGGATCGTGTACACCGACTTTGAAATGGCAACTTTTAAGGAGAACGTTTTAAAGTTTGGGACACCCAAAAATTCAATATAAAACGCGCTTACTTACCTACGTTCAACTGCCCATAAGTTGGGAAGTTTTAGTCGGATCGATCTAAAATTTTAACACAATATTCTCGAGATAATGTCCATTCTGAAAAAGAAAATGCAAAAAAATTTTTAGTAATATACCCCCCCTTAAACTTATGCAAAGTTTTAGCCAAATTTAATTGCTTATGACTGGATTTGGAAAAATTATGTTTTTTATTGGCTTCCATTTTATAGCTAAGTATATTTTAAATAAGCAACAATTATTAATTATAATTAAATAAACAAACCCATTTCGATGTTTGTTACCTTTTTAGATTCCATTAATGGCCTATCCTCGCCAAACACATTGTCCACCAGTGCTAGTGCTCCTGCGGTTGGTGCTGGAATTGAGAGCACCGGCAGCCCAACGCCAGCCCTGCATGTTCGATCCGGGTGCGTCTCTGACATAGCTGCTGGACGGCACGGCGAGGACTGCAGAAGAGCCTGCTCACCTTGTCCACTGGGGATTGCCGGTCACCAAAGCACGCATCACCACCAGAGCAATGGACATACCCATGCCCACGCACATGCACTTGTTCCTGCTATTTCGCCACGACTTAACTTCAATAGTGGTGGCTTCGGTGCGATGTACTCGAACATGCACCACACGGCCTTATCGATGAGCGATACCTATGGGTAAGCATTTTATATGTATATTTTAACGGACAATCGAAATTACATGTAGATAGAGCAATTACAAAAGAAAAAAACCAATCTTAATTCTTAAAAAGTGTTCGTAGTGTTTTGAAATCACAGCCAATTTAAGCAACCCTGTTTTTGCGTTTTTAATTGTCTGGCAGTCATACATATAATTTTTGACAGCGTGCACTGCTCAAGTATGACAAATATACGTCATCTAAAGGATAGTCAGTTCAAAGGATGGATCCAGGCAATTAAAGTTGATTTATGGTTATGGATACAATATGTATACAATATGCTATGTGTTCGTGTTTTTAGGAGTTACTGATTTGATATTTAATTATATTTCAATTTTTACTAAGGTTTCAATAAGTCCAAAAATCATTTTTATACCTCTGTGTAGTCTGTGTAGGGAAAAAGCTTATATAGTAAAAACTAAAAAAATTTGTAGTACAAAATCGATTCTATATTTGTTCCTGATTGCCAGAAAAGCAAATCACCATTCATACAAGGAGTTTCATCAAGGAAATCTAACTTACCTAATTAATAAGCACGGTGGTTTTTAAGGACCGCGGGCAATTAAATAGTTAATGTGAGAAATCAAATTATGTACGTCGGTTTTTTTTATACCCTTGCAGAGGGTATTATAATTTTGCTCAAAAGTGTGCAACGCAGTGAAGGAGACATCTCCGACCCTATAAAGTATATATATTCTTAATCAGGATCACCTCCTTAGTTGATATAGCCATGTCCGTCTGTCTGTTTCTACGCAAACTAATCTCTCAGTTTTAAAGCTATCGAATTGAAACTTTGCACACACCCTTCTTTCCTTTGCACGCAGTATATATGTCGGCCGGGATCGGCCGACTATATCCTTTAGCTGCCATATAACTGATTGATCGGAAATGCCATAACTTTGGTGTTTGTAAAGTTAGGAAGTTGGAATTTTGTATGGGTTTTATAAATGGCCAATCAATTCGACCTATTAAATTTCATAAGGATCGGCCGACTATATCCTATAGCCGCCATATAACTGATTGATAGGAAATGCCATAACTTTGGTGTTTGTTAAGTTAGGATGTTGCGATTTTCTATGGGTTTTATTTTTGGCCAATCAATCCGACCTACCAAACTTCATAAGGAACGGCCGACTATATCATATAGCTGTCATATAACTGAACGATTGGAAATGCCATAACTTTGGTGTTTTTAAAGTTAGGAATTTGGGATTTTTTATGAGTATTAAGAATGCATCTTATGAATAATTTTGGAGAATATAATTTACAGAGTATTCTGCAAGGGTATATCAACTTCGGCTCCGCCCGAAGTTAGCTTTCCTTTCTTGTTTTATGTAATTCAGAAAATGTAATACACTTAGTTTATTCTCAATAAGCTTACAATCTAAAGGCACACTGCTTATTTTTCAGAACGGTTACTCCAATTCCGAGCTTCAACCACTCGTCCGTCGGTTCCTTGGCCCCGCCATCTCCCATGTCGCAACAGGGCGATCTCACGCCACCCTCCCTGTACCCGTGCCACATGAACCTACGGCCGCCGCCAATCGCACCCCCGCACCACCACCTCGTGGCGGGTGACGGTGGCAGCCCGGCGGGGGAGGACTGGGTAATGCCCAATCGGCGAGCCTAGGAACGAGCTGCAGTGGATCCGGTTACGAGGTGCTCTCCGCCTACGCGCTCCCACCGCCGCCGTTGCCGTCAAGCAGTGCACCGGCACTCAACTTCTCAGCTGCCGCCAGCAGCAGCGCCAATGTGGCTGCCCACCACACCATGCCCCAGGAACCGTGCCCCTCGCCCTGCAGCTCCAACTCGAACCACTTGGGAGTTGGCCCCGGCTCTGTGTTCGCGACCGACCCGGCTTCGTCGGCCGTCCCTTCATATGCACACATGAGCTACAACTACGCGACGGCCGCCAACAATGTGACTCCCTCTTCCGCCGTCAGCTCCGCAGCGCACGTGGCTCCAGGAAAGCAACAGTTCTTCGCCTCGTGCTTCTACTCACCTTGGGTCTAGGCAAAATAAGGTGGTTCAGAAGGAAATGCGCTGCACAACGGACTATTAACATAATTGTAATACGCCCTCCACTAAAGAGGTCGTAATAAATCGAATTTACATATCTCTTACAAAATATAGAGGTTGTAGAAAAATGCATATGTATGTATAAATTATATAGTTCCGCCCATTAAATCCAATCTATAGTGTAGAATAATTGGTGTAAATTAAATAATTTAATTTTGACAAATGGAGACAATCTTATCATGTTTCACTATTGCACTCAAAGGGAATTTATTTATTATTCAATTATTTTAGTTTTTATTTTGTAAAAGCTTGCAATGGCTTCAAATTAAAAAAAAAGTAATAAAAACCAAAAAATATAAAAAAATATTTTCAGTAAAATAATAACAGGAAGGGAAGAAAAGGAGTCCGAAGTTAATATACCCTTACTAAAAATAATGAATCTATAGTATGTCGATTTTGCGCTGCATTTTAATATCGTTTCTATGGCTGCTATATGATATTGTTGTTCGATTTTGATAAAATTAAAAGCGTAATTCTGATATAGTAAATAATTACTATTTGATAAATAGAAAAACAGCAGAATAAAAATTAAATTTTTTTTTTTTAATTTTTTGATTTTTCTTTGGGAGCTATATGATATACAGTCATGGAAAAAATAATAGAAACGACAATTTTTTTTTCGTATTTTTCAAACTTTTCTTCAGTCAATTTTTTATTTTTTAAGTTTAATAATTTTGATTTATAGTCGATTCAATTATGTGTCAAAATATACCAAAACAATAATTTTCAAAAAACGTTATGAACTAAAAAATAATTTTTTAAATTTTTAGGCCTGGAAAAAATAATAGAAACGACTGAGTTAATTCAATGAAAAACAGTTTTGTAGCTTCAAAGCCTATTAATTTAGATGGTAACTTTAATATATAGTTGTGTCACCGCTATTTTTAATGACTTTGGTTCAGCGGTGTCCCATTGAATCCACCAAATTGGCACAAATTAATGGTTCAATGGAGTACCACTCAGAATTCACTTCCTTCCACAAATCTTCCCTAGTTATACCCGTTACTCGTAGAGTAAAAGGGTATATTGAATTCGTGCAAAAGTATGTAACAGCTAGAAGGAAGCGTTTCCGACCCTATAAAGTATATATATTCTTGATCAGGATCACTAGCCGAGTCGATCTAGCCATGTCCGTCTGTCCGTCTGTCTGTCTGTCCGTATGAACGCTGCGATCTCGGAAACTATAAAAGCTAGAAGATTGGCATTTTGCATGCAGATTCTTGGAGTTCCTACGCAGCGCAAGTTTGTTTCAAAAAGGTGCCACGCCCCCTTTAACGCCCACAATCGCTTATATACGATTTTAAAAATTTAAATATTTCGGAAAAGTAAAAATGCAGTTTTATTGTGTTTATCAATACCTATCGAAATGTAGAAGGAATTTTTCAAATCGGACCATTCGTTAAAAAGTTATGCGTGATCAAAGTTTCTATCTCCATCTCCCTCGCACTCCCTCTACCTGAGTAACGGGTATCTGATAGTCGGGGCACCCGACTATAGCGTTCTCTCTTGTTTTGGACTTAAACCCACCAAGCCTCTTCTTTATTATCCCCCAAAGGTGCTCTATAGGATTTAAGTCTGAGGACTGCGATTACGGCGATTCATCACAATAATAAGCGCGCAACATCGGTGAATTTCGACAGGCGGCTTGTTAGAAAATCAAATAAAAATACCTTTCTCTCGTCGAAACATATCAAAAATGATTTGAATGCACCGGTTACAAGTCGAACCATAAGAAATAGTCTGATTGAAGCCGATCTAAAAGCCCATTCACACCGAAAGGTACCATACCTCAGAAAGAAAAATATCGACAAACGTGTACATTTCGCGAAGGTGCATTTATTGCGCTCCAATTGGAAAAATATGTTGTGGTCGGACGAAACCAAGATGAATTTGTTTGGATCTGATGGGGAACCACATGTATGGCGCACTAAGAATACCGCCCACGATCCAAAGTCCTCTATTAAAGCCGTTAAACATGGAGGTGCGAAACTCATGTTGTGGGGATGCTTTTCCCAGTCGGGTTTTGGTCCAATACATTGGATAAAGGAAAAAATGTGTGCCACCCACTACGTAGACATACTCGCCAGCATAATGCTACGTAATGCTGAAGAGGAAATGCCAATTGAATGGAAGTTTCAGCAGGATAATGACCCGAACCATTCTTCAAAGCTGGCCAAGAAATGGTTTGTAGACAACGAAGTTCCCTTGATGGAATAGCCTTCGCAGTCCCCAGACTTAAATCCTATAGAGCACCTTTGGGCGATAATAAAGAAGAGGCTTGGTGGTTTAAGTCCAAAACTAGGGAAGATTTGTTGAAGAAAGTGAATTCTGAGTGGTACTCCATCGAACCATCAATTTGTGCCAATTTGGTGGATTCAATGGGACACCGCTGAACCAAAGTCATTAAAAATAGCGGTGGCACAACTATATAATAAAGTTACCATCTAAACTAATAGGCTTTGAAGCTACAAAACTGTTTTTCATAGAATTAACTCAGTCGTTTCTATTATTTTTTCCAGGCCTAAAAATTTAAAAAAATATTTTTTAGTTCATAACGTTTTTTGAAAATTATTGTTTTGGTATATTTTGACACATAATTGAATCGACTATCAATCAAAATTATTAAACTTTAAAAAAAAAAATTGACTGAAGAAAAGTTTGAAAAATACGAAAAAAATTGTCGTTTCTATTATTTTTTCAATGACTGTAGATGTCCGATTTTAATTTAAATAAAAGCGTAATTCCATAGTATTTACAGACGGACATGCTTATATCAACTCAAGACGCGATCCTGATCAAGAATATATATACTTTATAGGGTCCCTCACTGCGTTGCACACTTTTGACCAAAATTATAATACCTTCTGCAAGGGTATAAATGAAGGTATTCAAAAAATTAAAAAAAAAGCTGAAATAGTTTTAATTTATTTCAAGATTCCCCTTTAAAACGTTATTAACATTTTGTTGTTATTTTTATATATTTTTTCTGAATGCACATCATTTGAAGAATATTACGTTATAATTTTAGATTTTAGAGTAAGACTTCCAAAATTATGGACAGTTCAACGTAGGTAAGTTAGCTCGTTTTGTATTCGGTTAAAACCCTCTCCTAAAAAGTTGGCAAATCAAAGTCGGTGAACACGATCCTGCAAAATCTACTGGACGAATCGTTTTGAAATGTTGCACATTATTTCTGCACCTAAATCCGCAGGTACTGACGTCGAGTGTTTTTTATACCCTTGCAGAGGGTATTATAATTTCAGTCAAAAGTTTGCAACGCAGTGAAGGAGACATTTCCGACCCTATAAAGTATATATATTCTTGATCAGCATCACCAGGAGAGTCGATCAAGCCATGTCCGTCTGTCCGTCCGTCTGTCCGTCTGTCCGTCTGTCCGTCTGTCCGTCCGTCCGTTTCTACGCAAACTAGTCCCTCAGTTTTAAAGCTATCCGCTTGAAACTTTCCCAAAAGTTGTCTTTCTATTGCAGGTAGTATAGAAGTCGGAACGAGCCGGATCGGGCGACTATATCATATAGCTGCCATATAACTGAACGATCGGAAATGCCATAACTTTGGTGTTTTTCAAGTTAGCAAGTTAGGAAGTTCTATGGGTTTTATTTTTGGCTAATCAGTCTGACTTACCAAATTTTATAAGGATCGGACGACTATATCCTATAGCTGCCATATAACTGATTGATCGGAAATGCCATAACTTTGGTGTTTGTAAAGTTAGGAAGTTGGGATTATCTATGGGTTTTATTTTTGGCCAATCAATCCGACCTGCCAAATTTCATAAGGATCGGCCGACTATATCCTATAGCTGCCATATAACTGAACGATGGGAAATGACATAACTTTGGTGTTTTTAAAGTTAGGAAGTTGGGATTTTTTATGAGTATTAAGAATGCATCATATAAATAATTTTGGAGAATATAATGCAAGGGTATATCAACTTCGGCTCCGCCCGAAGTTAGCTTTCCTTTCTTGTTACTGATTATTTTTCATTTTATAATAACATATATATCGAATTTTAAAGATTGAAAAAAACTCTTTAACTAATAAACAATTGTTTTTGTTTTTTCTGATGATCCAGTAACGAGTTATTATGTTCACCGCAAAACCTTTTTTCTTGGAGGCGCCCTGCGAATGGCTCATTTATTTATTTTTTCGATGAAAATTTGAGAAAACATAGTTTAAAACTTTGATATGCTAATAAAATAATTGATCTGACATTAACCGTAAAAAAATTCATGAAAATTTGCCTTTTTTTGCCGAATTAACCATACCCCCTTAAGAACACTCAAGCTTACGTAGTTTGTAATAATCTTGATGTAATCAAAAGGAAAAACGCGACCCACAATTTAATTGCCTGCGTATACTCCAATGAATTGTGATTTTAACTGAGCATATTTGGGAATGACGAAACCCAAGTCCTCCATATTGGTGACCTCGAGAATTTCGCTTAATCGAAATGCAGTCAGCTTAGCAAGAGTGGCTCCCATCAGCTGAATACCTTTGTCTTGCAACCAATCAGTCAGCAGTGTATATCGGGAACACAGGGTACACCACTTAGAACGAGATGCGTTTCAGCGGGTTGTATATTGACATCATAATGCTTAGAAACTGTCGCTTAGCGAGAAGACGCTTCCCTTGAAGCCATTCTCCTGCTCAGCATTATCCAGTTTTACCAGCAAGTTGGCATTTGCTTGCAAGTAAATATAGTGAGTCCTGGCCAGATTGCTTTTTCGTTTGTGTCAGCACAGTCCAACATGTCTACGTAGTGATTCTCCAAATTGCATTTCACGGTCCTCTGATAGTTCTTCTCGCGTTGTGCTGAGGAACTACCAACAGCTTGGGAAGCAGCATGGCATAGGAAGTTGGCAGTGGAAAATTTCCGCAATGTCCCCACAAATTACTACCCCTTTTTCCTCGGATCCTGCGTAAGACTCTAAATCATGCGGAGCTTTCCAGGCTTGTGCCGTTGACCACTGGGAATATTGACAGGTACCAAAACGGTGTCTTTACTTTCCAAGTTGTGGACGCTACAGCTTCTGATTGGGGCAGCTTAAGTGCTTGAGGGCTGTGAATACGCTATGGGGTAGATCAGTATCCTTATACTTCCACAGCAAACTGGTCTTAAACCGTCCTTCTACTAGTTTTGTATTTTCCTTCCGGTGCCGTATGCAAGGAAGATCGGGCTTTTACAAGCTGTGTACGACTAATGGTCCAATTGTTAAGGTTAATTAGCAATTACAGGGAAAACTTGTTTTATTTGCTTCAGCAACAGGCCAATGATTATTTCAGGCCTCTCGAATCACTTATACAATGTAAATAAAATCTCCGGAACG